ACACACGCGGTTAAATCTCCAGCAATTCTTGCCAACATTTAGAAACGAAGGTTTGCTTGTGGCAGCGTTGGCGTACCCTGTTTCGCATGAGCTTTGGGCGAGGCAAACGAGTTGTGCGGTGAATTTTTGCCATGCCAAATAGTGTGATGGCACTAAATGGCAGTAGGCGAAGAGCTTTGGCCAGATCAATCTCGAGACGCGTTGAGTCATTTTGCATTGCCTTGTGCTGCTGGCATTGAGCCTCGAAATAGCGGAAGGATCTGGGTTCTTGGACGACATCAAACAGTCTGTTGAGTCGGTCTGACATCGTGCCAAGGCAGTTTGACATCGACGACAGGAATCGGTGGCTAAAAGCCCTTCAAGACGGGAATACGGTGTACTGGAGCTTGACGTTGGGTCTGAACTTGGGGTGGAGGGTGTGGACGTTCCCTGGAAGATTTTGACATTATCGCGAGGCACCACTCGAAGGTGAGAGGACCCTCCTTCCATCACAACCTGCTTTATGGCGTCTGGCTTGAGAGAATTGTCATTTATCACGGCTTCCATAGCGAATGTAGGTAGAAAAACGTGGTGGTAAATAATCTCAATCGTCCTCTCCGATCCATCGTTGGTTGATCTTGAGCTCACCCCACCAACGACAATGCCGGTCAAGAAATAGAGCGTGTCGTTGATCTGTCGTCCGATTTGATCTTCCGAAGAAGTAAGGGGGACGGGCGACGTGGTTGCGACGAGGACTTCACCCACCGAGTATTTGATCTTAATAGTCGCAGTGGCAACACTGGATGAAATTCGAAGAATCTGGATGTATGACGTAGTCTCCAGTACGGTCATTCGAGTGTCTTGCACCGATGCCATCGGTCCAAAAGGACATCGTGTGGTCGAGAAGCAAGCAAGACTGGAGCTTGCGTGTAGTATGGCGAGTTGGTCCGTAGTAGATGAAGTAGTCTTGATGCATCGAGTGATCTCGGAGCGTACGGGTCTCTGGGCTGTGTTTCCCGTCAGCATCGCCTCGTACCGTGATGGTGGCAACTCGTGACGAAGACATTGGCCGAAACTACTGACTGCAACGTTGTAAGTGCACGTTCCGTTCGTGATTGCTTCAGTGGGACATCCAAGCAATTGCGAGCTACACGAAACACAGTCAGCAGCCAATACCCACGAGTGGCTGTCTTCTGTCTTGACTCGTGTCTGGAGTTTGTCGAGTAACGTGTTTAAAGCTGGTCGAGAGGATGAGGCCGGAAATGCTAGGACGCCTTTGGGTGGAGATTTCTCACTCGCTATGAATTGTCCAGTGGCTGTGTAGAACGAAAGCGTGTGGAGGAGCAGAGCGTCTGTGTAGGTTAGCGTTAACTGTAGCGTAGTAGCGTCCGTGTGGTCAGGTTCGACTAGAACGGACACTCTTGCAGCTTGGGAGAGGACGAACGAGCGAATGAAATTCCCAAGATACGAAGCTGACGCGCTGTAGGTAAAAGTCTCCACATTCGTCACACTCGAGCGGATGTCTCTTTTTACAATTTTTAGATCCACATTGTCAGTCCCGCTGGTCGTCGGTGTCACTAGAAATCTCTGTGTGCCGTTCGTTAGACGAAATATTGTAGGTGAGTCGTCGGTGCTGTTGCCGTGACCAAGAGGACATGCGGAGACAGCAAAGCAAGCCAGAGCATCTCGAATAGGAGACCACAGTGAGATCGGGAGATCAGCGACGCATGTCGCCAACGGTTCTAGGAGATCACTCTCATTAGCTTCGGTCGCTTCTGCACTGCCACTGATACTCTCTGCTTCACGAGCCTCCACTTCGCCACTTCCACGTCCACCTCCAACACCTCGGTCGAAGTTACCACTCTCTTCATTGGATAAATGTTTCAACTGCGTTATCAGACAAGGTAGTACCGTGGTTTGGCAAAGCTCACTATCGCGACAAGTATCCAGGTACCCATCGCAAGCATCGCACGAACTTCCAGTCGAGCTTGCGTACGTGTCCGGTAGACTTGTAGTAACCAAGGGGTACGCGTCAAGGGGTACCACATCTCGCTTCGCAGCGTTCTTTGCAATTGATAACGTCACTCTGACTGTGTTTCCGTCCACCCGACGAGTAGTATGCGTCACTCGTTGATTGCCGTACAGTCCGTACGCTTCAAATGAGCTCGTAATTGTGCGTGCATTATCTAATCGAACTCTTATTACTACGAGTAATTGGTCTCTCGCTGACAGTCTCTGGCTGCGTTGCCGAAGTCTCAATAACAAGTCAATAACAGGCCCCGTCGTCGTAGCATTGGACTGGAACCACCACGTCGTATCGTCACTACCTCCACGAATCAGCGGCAAGATATCGAATGGCTGGTGTGTGTCGAATGTAGCCGATACCACGGGGTGGTTGCTGTCATATTGATGCAGGAAGAAAGGGTCGGTTTCGAATGCAGAAGAAATCTTCAATTGGAGACACAGTCGAGCGTCATTGCAGACGATGGAATCGGCCGATGGTGCCACGAACTCGTAGGCGGTGGGAAATGCAGAGCCCAAATCCCCGAACTGCACGTGGCGACTGATGGAAGAAGTAGGCGGATGGATCATTCCTCCAATGTCTGGCATTACCACACGTGCATTGCTCTGCGTACTGGACAACACCAGTAGCAACACCAAGATCGCCAACATGGTGATCCCCGTGATCGCGAATCGTCGTCTCAAAATATAACTGAGCAATTGCAAAACTCGATTGTGACAGGATATCACATTTAGAGGCACTTTCAAAATAGCGCGATAACTCCACTTTATAGATGGCAAAGTTACGATGAAGGAGGCCTCTTCTGAGCGATGCAGCAAGATGAAGAAGAAGAGCACTGTCGCGCTTACATCGTGGTTATCGGGTAGGAATGAGATAGGACGGCCATCAAAATTCGATCTTTCGTCGGACCATCTCTCAGCTGCCGTTTTAATAGTTGAAACACGTAGTGACGCATATGGCCTTATCTTCATTTAAGCTTTAGCACCAGCCCCCTACGTGGGTGGACACGCTCAAATTCCCAAAATATGGAACATATTCACTTATGTAAGACCCCCCCCCCTTCCCCATACATATTGGTTTGGCTCAAAAAGGGGAAGCCCTTCC